GCGAAGCATGGAGCAGCACTACCCCCACCCATGCTTCGTTCTACTTGGGCTCCGTCCGACTCTGCGCCGCACGGTCTCCGACGGATCCCCAGTTTGGGCCACGTGTGGCGTTGGGCGCGTGGCAGTTCCGTCTTTCGTCGGGTTGGCTTTTGGATGTATCATATACCTGGAACCTGAGTGACCCCTGTTTTGGAGGGTCAACTATCCCAAATATGGCCTTTTCCTGTCAAAAAAGGGGTCAAACGGATTCTAGGTGTATATATATAATATATATATATATATCAACTGGTGGTTTTCAATCTGCAGCTAGTCTCCAATAACATTGCAACATGGCTTCTGACAACCGTTCCAGGAAGCCTGGAGCAGTATCGGCCCCCTCCAAGGTTCGTTCCAACCGTACAATTTCCCACGTTGCGCTTGTGGCACATAACGCGTGTCGGCCATGCCTTGACTGTCTGGCGCATGTACTGTGCACATTTTGGACACCCAACCCCATCGTATCAGCCCCGCAGCACACCACCCAACACACGTCCGCGAAGCATGGACCAGCACTACCCCCACCCATGCTTCGTTCTACTTGTGCACTGACCCGGAGCGGCCTACCATGATGCTTGCGATGCGACCATGTGCTCAACGCAACCATGTCTGCCGCGTGCATTCTGCACATTTTGGACACCCAAGACCATACCTCAGCCCCGCAACACCGCTCCATTCACCTTTTCACGTGCCTCCGCGAAGCATGGAGCAGCACTACCCCCACCCATGCTTCGTTCTACTTTTGCACTGCCCCAGAGTGATGCTTGTGACCCTCGCCAGCTCCCATCTTCCCTCCCCAGTCCCTCCCCACCCACGCGCCTCCGGTCTCGCTCCCCTCCATCTTCCCTCCCCAACCCCATCCCCACCCATGCGCCTCCAGTCTAGCTCCCCTCCATCTTCCCTCCCCAGCCCCGTCCCCACCCGTGCGCCTCCCGTCTCGCTCCCCTCCATCTTCCCTCTCCATCCATGCGCCTTTCGTCTCGCTCCCCTCCATCTTCTCGTCCCCACCCATGCCCCTCCCATCTCGCTCCCCTCCATCTGTTCCCTCCCCAACCCCGTCCCCACCCATGCGCCTCCCGTCTCGCTCCCTCCCTTCCTTCCCCTCCCTTCCTTCCCCTCCCTTCCTTCCCCTCCCTTCCTTCCCCTCCCTCTTCCTTCCCTTCCCTCTTCCCTTCCCAACCCCGTCCACCTCCACCTCCATCTTCCGTCCCCGACAACGTAAGCTTTTCCTCGCTCTCCCCCGGCACTAGCGACTAAACGAGACTGAACCCAAGCATCGGAGATGCTTTTGGGAAAAAAAAAAGAGCCAGGAAGGAGAAGAGTGGAAAAAGAGCCAGACCGCCAGACCTCCGCCACTCCAAGCACCCCCACGGCACTGTGTTTGTTCCACAGGTCGCTCTTGTCGCTCCAATCCCCTTTCCACTCTCCTGTCCAGCACTCCGGAACCGCGACAGGCACTCGCTCTCAGACCAGTTTGGGGTCCGAAAACAGCGAGGGCATTGGTCCCGGCGATTTTGGTTCCGGGCATTGGTCCCTGACAGGCGCGCGCGCATGAATCCTCCGATGGCCAAAGAGAAGAGCCCCTGAAAGAGGTCCAGCTTGGGCGTTTGGGTCACATCAGATTGAAGCCCCATTGGCTATAGTACCTCCCTGGAACTAACATGGAAGTGGAGAATGGCCCCTTGGAAGACCATTGGAAAACTACTAAACAGGTGGTTTTCCACTTCCATGTTAGTTTTTGGGAGTGTAGTACCCTCCCTCATTCTACCAAAGAATCGAAACAAAACAGAAAAGACCTCGCGGGCGCAACCCTCTTTCCCAAACGCAACTTCCCTCCAACAGATCCGACGATCCGAAGATTTCCGAAGACTTGGCAAGGCACCAAAAGATGTAAAGAACTTAAAGACCTGGAAACCCAAACAACCAGAAACAAATGGATGTTCCAATATGGCAATTGAAATCCTTTACATAGGAAACCCTATCAAAATACGACACTCCCGAAAACTCACATGGACCCTTTAGAATGGGACTGGTGTTTAGGCGGCTGTTTTCCTCTACAAGCCAGTGGTTTTCAGGGTCCATGTTAGTTTTCCACGGGGTAACTACCAGGACCCCCCAAAAAAGGGGGTTCGATTGATAGCTCCTGTTCAAGGTGATTCGGGGTGTCCACAACAACCACCCAACTCCTGGTAGTGGTCACCAAATAGATATAGAGTGGCACAGTGTCCAATACATGCCCTACGTGGGGATCTACTTGTCTATTCTATTTGGGCGTCTTTTTTTAACCGTGTACAGTTATATAGGGTTCGACTCGTCTTTTTCCACCTCTGAAAATAGATCCTTCAAGCAACTGATCACAGCCCAGCCCGGCCCAAACCAACCAAAACCAGCTGTAGACCTCCCTCGGCTCCAACACCAGCAGCATCCCCCAGCTCCTCTGCCCCAAGGGTTGCGGATCTGAATCATCTTGTAGTCCTGCAGCGTCTCGCCCGTTTTCGGCGTCGTTTTCTCATCCGTTGAACCTCGTAGTCTTCTTCGTCGAACCTCGTTGGGGGCGGCCCCAGTCGGGCGTGAGCATCGTTGAAATGGGGTGCGACCGGGCGTGACCTCCAAAAGAGTCTCCAAACCATGCCAATTCGATATGAATTCATCTCGTCCAGGACCCACGGGAGTTGGGTGGGATGGACGAATCACATCCTAAAGGAGCTATCAGTAGGAAACCCCCTAATTATAGGGGGTCCTGGATTGTATAATTAGACTACTGTAGTCATGGCCTTGACTTGGTTCATCAGCCCAGTCCTTGCACCGAGGGCCCTAAAGCTGCTCTAGACTCTGCAGAATGACTCTATACCGTCATGGTCTCCCTGCCTCCCTCCCCCGGCCCCAAGTGTTTCATGGATTTCATCCACCTGTCCCACCCCGACACCCCAACCTTCCCGCCGAGGCCCAGGAACCCGTCGTTGACCTTGCGTACCTCGCGGAGGACTGGAAAGCGGGGGGGGGGGCCAGGAGCCCGCAAGGAGAATCAAGGAAGTGCTGTTGCTTTGGGGGCGAAGGTCCTTCTTGGGCGGCTTTGTATACAACTTCTCCACATCAATCACATCCCAGGTCCCAGCTGCTTCCTGGCTGGACGACCCTACACGCCCTACACTAGTTATGGATCTCTATTGGACACCCATTGGAGGCGCCAGGTACTGGGACATGTCTTTTTGGCATGTCCAACCAGATCACTTGGAGCCTCCAACCAGACCTTGACCCACCCACCACCAACCCCCCTCATCCTCCCATCCTCCATCCCGGGGGCCCGGGACCTGCAGAATGCCTCAACGACCAGGTGATCGGATTCCGGATGTAAAGAGCGGACCCGACGACTGGACCAGACGACGAGACCCGCGCAGACCTCGACCTACCTCGGAACCCCCCGTAATTGGCGCCCACATGCGGGCCAGATCGTCGTCATGTTGAGGTGGGTAAGAGTAGAACCCGAAGGAAGTTCTCCAGCCATTGGATGGCTGTAAGGCTAGACGGAACGAACCACTAGAGGCAAGTGTCATGGTCAAAATCAACTGTCCATGCTGAAGGAGTCATCTTCATCTGCCCATGAGTCTGCGATGTGAAAAACTCCAAGCGAGTTTTTGCAGTCCACGTCTTTATATCCTGTGAATCTTGCGTCTGTCTTGAAGATCTTGGTCTCGGTCTTGCAACATGTCGTCAACAAAAAAGTGGCAGCTAGGACTCCGGACTCCGGACCATTGAGGGCCCACAAGGGATGGTTCATGGACACCCCTCAACCTCTGAGGGACTCCTGATAAACAACGCTTGGGGGGTCCTGGCACAACATGAACTTCAGCGTTTTCAGGGTGGCTTCCCCATCAACGACGCCATTCCCACTGCGCCACCCTCGCGTGCAGCGCGTCGGGTATCTTCCGATCCGGAGATGGGCTATAAGTCTGCTGTGAAAGAACTCCTTCATGAAAACGGATTCAATGGAAAATCATGGAAAATCCAACAGACTGGTGGATTAAGTCTATAGTCCAGTTCTTCTTGGTAAAACCAGAACACTTCCAGCCCATCCAATAACTAGCAGAGCGATGGCTCAAAATGGCATCCCAGACTCAACCTCTCTTCAACACACAAAACAACGACAAAGCATCTCCACTAGCATGTGGATTCTGATGCTATGTCTCTTCCTTCAGACCATCAGACCGGCCTGCTTCGCACCTCTCGGACGCGCAAGGTCCGAAGGTCCGCCGTTGGCGCCACCGCGGGAGTCTCTGTCATCGTGTCTCGTACGCATTCTCCGGGTCTCCGGGCTGTAGGCATGTCCGGTGACGAGCCCATCTTTTCCACTCGCCCCGGAGGCTGAGAGGATACTCCCTGGCAGAAAGGCGCGGCGTCCGAAACGGGTTCTCCGGACCATGTTGGACCACGTTGGCTCTGTGGAAGGTGGAGAATCGCCCTCCCGCTGACAGCCAACTCCTTTTTGCCTGGACCCCCAGGAGTTGGGTGGTTCATGGACACCACTTGACCTCTTTTCGGGGCTTTGGTCCATGGACACCCGGACTCCGTGGCGCTGGTGGTCCATGTTCCGGGCTGTTGTTTTCTGGAATCTGTTCGGGCTTTGGGCAGGTGAACATGAAGGTCTTTCGTGTCGCACTCGTCCAAACCACCACGAGAAACCGGCACCATCACAAACCAACCAGTCGACGGAGATCGTTCGATCGTTCGACCACGTTCGACACCGGCACCCTCCGGCTGCTCCATGCGCGCGCCTAGCGAGTGGTATTTCCGGAGGATCTCAAACCTCCAAGCGGCTTGGCGAAGAAAGCGAGCGGCTTACGTCTTCTCTCTGAGGAAGCCCCTGCTTCCAAGCATCAGAACTGCAGCATGGATTCCAACCCATCTCCAGGCACGATAACTCTAACGGTTTCCTTCTCCATCTCTCCCTGCATCGAAGTGACATGGTGTCATTGTCCACGGTTTCTTTGGTGGAGTACAAGCCACACTTGCGCTTGTCCTTTGGATCGTCGAAGTTCTTGAGATCCTGACGATTTCGGATTCGCAAGAAGAACGGAGAACCCAAGAACGGATGGGTTGATCGGAGATCGACCCCCCCCTGACCGTGAACCAGAGAGGATCCTTGCTTTTTCAATCCTCAGAGGTCTTACATAGCCATGTAAGACGGGGGGGTGTTGGGGTACACCACACATTCCTTCAGATTCTCCTCTCTCTCTACTTCCTGCTATCGGCCGCCAAACAGGCTCGGCCGGCCGCCAGGCCCACGCGGACGCCGCTCCGGGTCGAAACGAAAGCCCCTCCGTCCTGCCGCTGCCACTGGCTCTTGGAGTCGTTCCGCGAGAACTGTCGCCTCGGAAGAACGCCAGGGCAGTCGTTCCGGGGTTGGAGTGATGCAATTGGACGATCTCAAGTCTGAAGTGCCAGTTCATGGTCAAGAGGTGCCATCAATTGGATCCAAAAGCAGGCCTCCAAATCCTTGTTGCTTCTGGATTTGTGGCACAGGATGGAAGGTCTTCTGGGAAAAAAAAAAAAAACAAAATCATGCTCCCTACGTTCGTATCAACATGCGGGTTTCCCTGCTTGGAATCATCTCCCAAGGAACACCACAATTAAAAACGGTAAGTGGGACTCATGCTGAACGCGCCTTTCTCAACGACTCAACGATGTCACTTTTGACAAAAAATATATTAGTAATGCAAAAAGTAAACCTATTGAAAATGGTCGTGGTCGGCTCTCAGAAAACTGTTTACAGGCTCAAGAAACCAAGGGGGTGCTCATATATGGAAATGTGTGGACATGTTGTTTTCTTCAAAACATCCAGCAGTCCAAGGAGAAGAAACAAACAAACATTTAAAAAAGGAACAAATGTGAGGTATGGGCGAATTCTCCCTGGCTTCCTTGTCCCCCCCCGGAACCCCTAAACCCCTTCCCATTCACCCTAAACCCCACCCGCCCCGCCCCTTCCCCTTCCCCACTCCCTCCCTGTCGCCGTCTCCGGTGCCCCCCACGCCGGATCTCCGGTCATCGCCCGGATCGCCCAGATCGTCTGGCCCCCCTGAGGCCGGACCGCTCGGTCGGGCCGGGCAGGTCGGGGCGTGGCACGGGTTCCAACAGAAGTTGAAGGACCTGAACTAGACTATCCCAGTAAGGTAACCCCAGGTTACGGTCCTATTTACGGTCACTGGCTACCTCTCTTGGTTTCTTTCCGCCGATGTTTCGGTGGTGGAATTCGATGCGACCCACCCACTGCGAGGAGTGAAAGCTGGAGGGGTGAAAGCTTCGAAGCAGTGTGAGGCGGTCTATTGCACCAGGGATGTGCTGTCAAGAGGGATCAGCGGACTAAAAAAGACATTGACATGTCTCTCAGTTTGTCGCAGGCACGGACACCTGTGTTTTTTTGCACAGTCACCACGAGTATTTGTATCACTTCCTGTGAACCTGTTAACAGGTTCTCTCTTCAGCTGTGTTGACTGTGCATGCGTCCAAATACTTGCCATGCACTTCATGTCCCGCGGTGTTGACTCTTTCTGTTCACCGGTGAAAAGACCCGACGGGGAGCCTCGAGGGCCGAGTAGCCACCGCAGAACTTGGCAAAGGCCTCGGCCGGCGATGGCGAGGGCAGAGAAAGCGATGCGAACAGAGTCTTCCAAGAGAAGAAGCTACCTATAGGGAATCACACTGAGCAAGAAGCTATACTAGTAGGTGTGATTCCCTATATACTACTAGCAAGAAGCTACTAAGTTGGAGGCCATCGCTAGTAGGTTGGAGGCCATTAGTATTAGTAGCCAGGACGCTTGGTAACAAGTGAGCAATTCAATCCGTCTTCTCACGCGAGAAGAGGTCTGTTGATCCGCCTTCTCCAGGAGCATCACATAGAGCTCATTGTGCTTCCTGAGACCGTCACGGGACGACGGGACGTGAACAGCTGAACATCCTCACCCGCCCACACGCTTGGGCGGAGTGATTTGGTGACGAGTCAGGAGAGCACGGAGCTCAGAGCTCAAGGACTGAAGCTGGCAGCAAAGCCACAAAAGGGGAGTTGCTAGTACAGTACAAGAAGTGCAAGGAGCGAAAAACATTCACTGGGTCGAGTGAAGCAGGTGTACGGAAGCTGGTGTAGATGTCCCAACCATCCCCTATGTGCTTTTGCAAAGAGAGCAAAAGTTATGTGGGAGGCAATGGCCATTCATGGACCCAATCCTCGATCTACTGGATCGCGCAAGGGATCTTTGAAGCCCAAAAGAAGGATCAAAACTCGAATCCTCTGGAGACCTAACTCCACCTGGCCCTCCCCCTGGGCCGCGGTGTTTCTCCACGCGTGGCCCGCTCCGGTGCTCCCCCACCCTCAGTCCAAGGCACGGCTTGCTAAAGAAGGGCTTCGGCGTGCCGTCATGGTCGAAGCTCGCCTGGCACGGTGCTGGCGCTCTGCACGGTGCGGTGCCGCAACTGGCGGTCCAGCAGGGCCCCAGGTGGGGTGCCGCACGGCCCGGCGCTCGTACGTGAGATATACGATCTTACAAGGGGTGGTGAATGGCCACCCCTCAACCTCTAAGGGACGATCATATAATCAGCACCGCTTGTGGGGTCCTGGTATACATGCATTGATATACACTGCACTGGGACTAGAATGAAGACCAGGAACATGTTGTTTGCATGTGGGGATATGGCCCCCACGAGAAAAATCCCCCAAAACCCTGCCATGCCTATCCTCGTCTTGAGCATTTCAGAAACTTCATCCAAATGTCGATGAAAGATCAACGGCCAGGCATCACGGCATCCTGCTCCATCGGTCAACCCATCGGTCACGGCACCTTTCTTTCCAAGACCCGAGACACGTATCAAGACCGAAGATGCTCCACTGATCATGAAGATGAAACTAACCAGGACCCCCTAAGGGGTGTCTGATAACAGCCCCTTAGAGGTTAAGGGATGTCCATTGACCACCCCTTGGGGGTGCAGGAATAGAACCTGTAGCCGAAAGAGTTTCTTCACAAACAGTTTTTGATGCTCAGTGCCTTTCCTTCCTCGCAAACCTGGACGCACCGACAGAGTCCTGCAATCGGCGACATGAGTCGCCTTGTTGCAGGGGATGAAGTCATCAATGGTGATGATCTCCCACTTCTCCTCCATCATTGCGCGACAAGGACAAGATGGGCAGGCCCTGCGTGTAAACATTGTATACCGAGAAGAGAAGGCTCTGCAGATGCAGGAGTCTCTTACGAGAACTGGGTCTCGTCGGAACTGATATGTTTTCGGATGATGTGGCCGGCAGCTGAGTACACGGGATTCAGGCAAATGCAACCGGTTCAACTGACCGTCCCTATTTACGTGGCACGTGTGGGCCTGTCAGCTTAAACCCTGCTGAGCTTCTGCCGCCATTCCCTTGCTCCTTGAAACCTGACCGACACTCCGCGAACCCCGCAGTTCCGCCTTTCTGGGACAAGCGATCCCGCTCCGGGGAGGGCACCCCACGCCACCGCTCGCACCAGCTCCGGAAGCTTCACCGAGCTGCGCGAAGCTCCGCGGCCGGGGTTTGGAGCAAGAAAAAGGCCGCTCCGCTGTACAGGATCCTCCACCGGCTTAAAGAAACATGGGTTGCTCTGTTGAGGTTGCCCACGCAACTTACAAAACCAAAGAGAACCTCTCCCCTTTGAAGGGCCTCACCTGGCCATCTGGGAGGACCGTGCCCAGTCCTTTCAGGGGCATGACTTTCAGCTCAGCTGCGTTCAGGTTCATTGTGGTTGTTCTTAGTGTCTTATCATAGCCACCCATGTCATATGAATGGGTTGGGAAATATCCTATTATCACTAACAGTGGATGATGATGGTTATTAAAGGCTTTTCTCACAACAATTGCTTATCAACTGTAACATACACGACAAACAGGAAGACAATGCACCAAAAAAAGACATACAGCAACATTAAAAAAATAGCCAACACAAACATACACAAGAAACAAACACAACATACAAAACGAACCAATGCTAAAATACACAACAAACAAAATGAACAGCAACATACAAAAATAGCAAACAGCAACAGACACGACAAACAAGAAAAGTAAGAGAATGTACAAGCAAGGCCAATTGGCAGCATACACAACAACAAAACACAAAAGCAAACGACAACATACACGACAAACAAGAAAATAACATAGAAGAATCAACGACAACACAACACCAAGCACAACACAACAAAAAAAACAACGCAACAGAACAAAGCAACACAACACAAAACAATACAATAACATAACACAACCCAACCAACCAACCAACCAAAAAGAAAGAAAGAAAGAAACACACAAACAAACAAACAAACAAACAAACAAACAAACAAACAACAAGAAAAGAAAGAAAGAAAGAAAGAAACAAACAAACAAACAAATAGAAACCAGAAAACAATCAAACAAAAACAAAAAGAACAAACAAAACAAAACGCAAACCAAAACACCACACACGGCTTATTCGTTCCGACAGTGCCGACGCGTCGACTTCCACTACGTATACGTACACCAATTGCATGTGGAGCGGTGGGTTTTGGTCTTTAGTGTCAACTGCTCCGAGAAAAGATTGAGGCCCAGTCAGGTGGCCAGATTCTGTCACCCAGCAACACCTCCTCGGGCTCGACATGGTTCACGAGACGCCGAAAGAGGCGATCGCAGCGCTTGGCCGCGCGAGATGGCGCGGCCAGCCAGGTGGACCAGATCGGTTCGGCCTCACCGGCGAAACGCCACGAGGCACCCGGTGCCACTGATGTCCAGCACGTGAGGTGCTTGGGCGTTGGCGGTCGTGACTTCTGGACATGGCAAAACGATGCAACATGTCATTACAGTAGAAGGGGAGTTGAAGGAGATTTCAACAGTCTCCTCATGACGTATCACTCAAAGCTGCATCCGAGAATCGTATTCTCAGTATTCAAGCCAGATCCACATGGCATGAGACCGGCCACAGCTCGCAGCCGGAGCTTTGCTGCTTCAGGGCACAGACCAAATAGATCACCTGAGTTCGAACGAAGTCATGAAGTCATCTTCCCCTCGACTTCCATCCACCGCCATCCACTGGCCAGCCGACCAGCGGGGACGAGTCGCGTTTCCCTCCATGCGCAAGTCGCTGTTCCGCCCGAACAACACACGACCTCCCTTTGGCGCGGAACTCCGCTCCGTCACTCGCCCCCCGCCCCCCCCGGGGAGACAGCGAGCGGCATAGGTCGACAGGAAAATGGCACCAGACCTGCGGCGGAGACGGGGAAAACCAACGGCATGGCGCTGGCGGTTTTCTGGAGAAGGAAAAACAGAGGACCGAGGACGTCATGTGCACCCACCTCCAAAAACTGGACCTCGAACATCCGAGCCATACACCGGATGATAAGACGCCCGTTTTGGATAGTGTGCGACGATGATGTGAGATGAAAAGACATGTCCTGAAAACCCAACGGATTTTCTGATCCCCGAGATCATGACTGCGTGACTGCTTGACCGGCAAAACACCACCTGCCCATTGGGGTTGACCGGCAGTTCTTCTTACCGGTACAAACTGCCTAGCTCCACAGCTCCACTACAGGTGACAAGATCCTCCAAGGATGCAGCCAAGTGTTCAGATCATTACAGATCCATACAGGAACCTTCAGGTAGTTTCACTCAATATAAAAATCTCATTTGATCCCTTTGGATCACCAAAAAGGCACCCCGTGCTTCTTCTTCTTCTTCTTCTTCTTCTTCTTCTTCTTCGCGTTGTGCAGGCGTCTTCGACCGAGCCATCTCGGGGCGTTTTGTCGGAAGCTTCCCCGAGGCCGCGACCATTTCGGCAGGGAGAAGCGGCAGCAGGTATAGATCAAGACCTGCGGTCCAGGCGGTCCGGGGCTCCGGGGCGTGTCCCGACGGTCCGAGGTGCTCAACCGTTCAGAACCGTGTGGGAGGTCTGAACACCGGTTCCCCGGGCATCCCCCCCACAGCAAATCCCAGCCGAAACTCGCCCCCCAAGTCGTTTCCGGTGGTCCTTTGCCACCGTTCGGTGAATGAAGGGTGCCGGCGCAGGGATCGGCAGGCTGTCCCTGGCTTTTGGGGGTTTGGTGACCAGATGTCGTCATTGTGGTCACCACCATGTCACCACGCCCGAAGACGATCAGCAGCAGCAGGTCTCATGTCACTTCAGAAGTCGCTTTGGCCCGGCAAAATCCAAGTATACACCAGAGTCATATAGTAAAGTGACTACTTCAGCAATTTCCATAGGAAAAGGAAATGGTATGAAATGGTACATGATGAGCGTCATTGCCCAAAGAACCCACCTCACCTACCCCCTCCGCCCTGTAAAAAAGAAACAAAAACTCTTCCGTCGAGCGGCGAGAGGAAGCAAGGTGATGAAGATCTCAATGATCGCCGGATCGAAGCCGTTCACTTTCCTCTTCAGGCACAGGAAGGGACCCCCGTGAACTGCGGAGGACATCGCCCGCTACCGGGCGGGCGCCCTCGTGAAGAAGGAAGATCAACTGAATGAACTGTGCATGTCACGCCTGGAGTTCATAGAAAATGCATTGAACTGAATGAACTGGGCTGGATACCCCTCTTTGCATTCTCCTGTGATCTGATGGATGCTTTGAGAAGTGTGTAGGGGAAGTTTCCTCGTGCGTAGTATATACCTCAGCAGTTCCAACAGGGGTGCCGGACGAACGGAGGATAAGGGTGCCCTTGTCACATCCACTCACTGGATGGGACGAACCAAACCACCCCAAGCTCTGTGACTCCTGGTATATATGTCATATGAGTCTATATGATGCCTGAGAAACAACCTCTTGTGCATCCTCAAAAAAGAATGGTGCGACCCCTCTTCCGCGAGCCTTTCAAACGCCCTGCCCTGCTCTGAACATCTGGCCCAAGGTGCATCGGGAACTCTCCCGTGGAGGAGAGGAAGACCGCCTGACCGACACCCCAAACCGCCGAACCGCCGAAAACGTCCGCTCTCACGAACCAAGAGGAGCCAACAAACATCCACAAATGCTCGGAATCCCCAAGTGTACTGGGAGTTGGATTGCAAAAGAATCTTTTCACTGTCACTTTAACCTTGGGTCACAGAAAAGCCCATGTCAGGCGGGAACGAGTGGGATGATGGATTCTTCACCCTCCAGTTCCATCCAGCAACTTGGACCTGGTACACGCTTCGAACTCACTCCCAGCGCTGGGAGTGACAAGCCACCTGAAGAAGCTGAGTAAGCAGGCGCTGTTACAAACCTTCTGGAAGCTTCCCAACAAAACGTTTCAAAGGCGGCCCTCGAAAGCTTGCTCATCTGCTCCTACACACATACCAGGACCTTCCAACAGGTGGTTTTAGAAGCCTAACAGGTGGCTTCTGGGCACCTGTTGTCACCACAAAGCACCTGTTGGAGGGTCCACCCAAGCCAGCCGCCTCACCTGTCCACGGTGGCGTGCGCGTTCCCGCAGCCTGGATGGTCCAGGGAATGGCCAGAGCCAGGAAGACCTTGGCCCGTCGTGACCGTCATTGTCCGCGTTCAGGAGTGCTGTTCAGGAGTTTCGCTTCAGGCTTCATCTTCCCAAAAAAAGTGACCCTCATCCCCACGAAAGTTAGCCAAAATACAACACACCTCCCAAAATATCAAAAAATAACATGTCTTGATGGTGAAGCAAATCCCCAGTTCGGTGGTGCCCTTCTTCGTTTACATCCAATTGATCCCACTCCACGAGTTCCATCCCCACCCCGCTGAAATGCTGTCAGTTCACGTTCTGAACGTTGGCTCCCAAGGCATTCGCCACCGCCATGCCAGCCTGACCCCGAAGGATGCCAGCCCGAAAACCGCGCGTCCGACTTTTCTTGGTGGGAAGAATTGCCGTGCCAGTGGCCAAAACCCCACAGATCTCAGGTCTGCATCGGCGTCGTGTCTGTATCAGGTGAGCCTCCCTACCATCTCCAACCCCTCCTTGCAACCCACCCCAAAGACTCCCAAAAAGTCGGGCCCCTAACCCACCAGCCACCCTGGCACAGTCTCCAAGCACCGCCACCTCCGATACTACGCCCCCCCCCTCTTTGCGCCGCCTTGCCCTGGCGCGCGACGCAGATGCCGCTGAAGACGTTCGGGAAGGAGGTCCCGGCGGCGGCCACGGTGAAGCCCAGGACGTTGTTGGGGATCCCGAAATCGGCGTGGATCCCGTCCTCTTCCAGGGTCGCCAGGTTCCGGAGACGGGTGTTTCGGGACGGAGCGAAGAACACGGGGCGGGGGCAGGCGGGGGCAGGCTCTTCAGCCAGTGGGCAGGGTGCAAAGAAGGGAGTACCAGGATTCCACCATGGAAGAATGGGGGAATGGGCTTGTGCTTTTGTTTTATTCGATCAAAAGGTTCAAACAAAAACAAAGAAGAAGAAGAAGAAGAGGCACAAAACATCTTCACTTTGGAAGGCACTGGGTCTGTGGCTTCATCCTTTCGCCCAAAAGGACCTCGCTCTACAAAATCGCCAGACGAGGACCTCGCTGGACGACGTCAAACAGGGCCGAGGGGCGCAGGCGCTCACGACCAGTGAGGAGAGAATCCCCAGCCAGACCATGCTCATCACAAATGCCAAGGGATAGAAGCTCTGCGTGTCCTCGGCTGGCAAACGTCATGAAAAAGCCCAGACACTCCATGTCTGTCATATATCCCATTGACCCCTCTGGCACCACCCCAATGTAGGTAAATATACCAGTCCCATGGAGTGTCTGGGAAGTGTGTCCCCAAAAATTGGGGGACCCGTCCGATGCCTGGTCCGATTCGAGGTGATTCATCAGTGTAACATGAAGAGTCCGCCTTCTTTGTTTGGCACACCAAGTTCTGAACGCTTCCCTAGTTCGGGGGCGAATCTGACCCTCCAGAAACGGCCTCGGCGGTCCCCCCTGATCCGACCTGACACCCTGCACGGAGTTTCTTCCTTTAAAGCGAAGTGTCGGGACAGTCCATGTCCGGGATGGTGGCGCCAGCCAATGACTTCACCGGAAACTGGAACCAGGCGATCCACTCCATCAGAAAGGTGTAGTATTTCCTCAGAAAAGGGCCGCTAGCGCCTAGCGTGGGTTCTTTCTCAAGTGGAAAGCATGGCTTTTTGGGCCTGTGTTTGAACTCATTCGCGCGGGCGTGCGGGCGGCTCCAGCCTCATGTGACACATGCCCAGTCTGCAGAAGTCCAAAGACTCGAACTTGGGCATTTGGCGCGAAGTAAAGGAGTTACGTCAGACCAATTCAAATTTGGTTCGATGGTCTGGAGCTTCCCTTTTGCGTTCTCACCCAGTCAGACCATCGAATCATAGTTCTTGGACTTCCAGGGCGAGCTGAAACAAAGCTCCGAAAGAGAAGGACTCCAGCTGGCCGTCGCCTACATCACCTCGTTCTCATGCCTTTCTCCCCGAAAGAAGGCCTATAGGCCAAGTTACGAAAAAAAGACGCTTGGTTTGAGCGAAACACCTCGAGGCGAGGCTCAAACTCCCTTCATACCCCTCCTCTTCGGGACCATCGAGTCCAATACCAACGCCCGCAGCTCGATACACAGTCCGAGCGCATCGACGCGATGATGATGGGTCTTCAGTCTCCCAACAAGCATGATGGTCAGCATTCTCCAGGTATCTTAGGGTATACCGTATATGTTCTTGAAGAGACCTGAAGGAAGCATGCCAGGACCCTCCAAGGGGTGTCTATTCCTTCAGACATCCTTTTCTTGACCAGCAATGCATCTGCGGAGTCTCCCAGAAGATGACACGGACTCGGAGTCCGACTGGGGAGTGAAGCAAAGATCCTACGTCGACGTACCTTTTTCTTCTGGCAATCCCAAGAACTATAGTTAACCCTGTATCTCCGAGAGAATAAAGAAAGTTCCATGTTCGAAACCATGCACTTTTTCACGAAAAAAACACACATCAAGTCGATAGAAGTCGTCAATCAAAAGCCTCCCCGGGTCCTTTGGATCCCAACCTCTCCCCCCCGCCACTCAGCTCGCTCTTCCCCGTCTCCTCCCGTCTCCTCCCGTCTCCTCCCGTCTCCTCCCTCCGGTCTACCGAGCGACGCCCTCGGTCGGTCGGCCGTCTTCCTCCGCGAGGCCTTGAGGCACTCCCGCAGCTCCTGGTTCCTCGGTTCCCCCCGGTAGGTCGCGGCGGAAGGCGGAAGGCCGAAGGCCGGGACGTGCGCCGGAGGGCTCGCACGAGTCCGTTGAAGCCGCACCGGCACGGACTGAGCGGCGTTCATGAATAAGGCTGGTGATGTTTGAATGGCTGTGAAGACATTGAAAAACTTTGTTTTCAGAAATGACACCTTTGATCCAGTGAAAACGACTCGCCAGGAGGGCTCAACGCTTTTCAACTCATCGACTCGCCCGGTCCCGCAGCTCACTCGCCCGTCTGGGCTTGGTCCGCCTTCAGCCGAGGGGCCAACTTTGGACCAGGTCGCACGAGGCGTTGGAGATGGTCTTGGACATCTTGGACATCGGACCTGGACGGCGGAAAGCTCAAGCGGAAGGACCGTCTGGCCCGGGGTGGGGTCGAAGCGAGCTGAGCGGCGAAGCGTATCTGAAGCTCGAATCAGTACTACTACGACGACTGCCTGCAAATGCTCTACCAAATTGTTTACCCCACCTAGTAGTCTTGCAGCTTTTACAGTCATCATGATTCATCATAGATCTTTGAACATCTCAATGTCCTCGGCAGCTGGAACCAGTCTTCTCAACACACACCCTGCCCGCCACCGAGGCACTGTCGCCCAAACGCTCGTGTCCGGGGGTGACCTCCAGCGTGACGTCGTTCCCAAACTTGTCCTCCCCGGGCGCGAGCGCTGGGAACCGCGAGCGCGCCAGCGCGCGCCACTCCCCCAACAAAGGACTACCGTAGGACCGGCCTTTGCCTGAAAGGAAGGGCATCCACCAGGACCCCCCAACATTGTTGTGTCCATGAAATAGCCCCGAACAAAAAGACCTCGTCAGACGAGGTGTCCAACGATTTAACTGAGGCAACTCCGGTCCTGGCAGTTGCGTCATTTTTCGTGCCGGAATCTCTTGGAGTCTCTGGGAGTCCAGCGACTTTTCGCCACTCCCAGTCGCCGTGGTTTCCGTTTGATCTCGATTCCCCAGGCCCAGGACGCTGCCACCGACCCTTTGAAAAAAAGGTAATCCCCAGTCCTGGACGTGCAGGAAGATGCCCTGCTTGCTGGGTTCACCTCACTCCAGCCGACCGCAACGTTGGAGTGCGCCCCGACGGCCCGGTTACGCGTGGTTTTGCGTGTGACGCGTGGAGGTAAGGTGACATAACGGCGGAGAGGGCGCAGATTCTTCGGTTTCAGAAGGGGTGAATCCTGCGGGGATTTCGCCCCTTTGGTTTGGGATCGTTTCTTCCACCAGGACCCACAACTCAGGTAGTAAGGTCACACGGACCAATAGCACCCTGCATGTAGACACTCCTTGCTGCGCGCTCGGGTTGATCAAGGCACAGAAGAGGATCTCCTGCGAAACACAACGCGGCGCTTGGCCCGCTTGGCGCCGCGGGAACGCGCGACGCCGAGATCCACGAGGCCCTGTGAATGAAAGCCCTACGCGGTGTCCATCTTCAAAAGAATGGGATCAGATCAGTGAAAACCCTGGGTTTTCTGCGTCACTGGATGTTTCACCTGGTTTCCAGGTCTTCCAGGTCGCTTGTGACCCGGTGTGACTTCACCCAGTCGCTGCGCGTGGTTCCATGCTAGGTATAAAATGGTACAAAGATATGTCTGGCTCAAGTTGCTCAAGTGTTTTTTGTCGCATTTTTATCATCACCGCCACCACATGAAAGATCGAACCCACCATCTCCACCCTCGAAGCAAGCGTCTCCCCACCTCCCCTCTCCCCACCCACCCGCCGAAATCCATGTTCCCCGCTCGTCTCCTGCATGCTGATCACCTCCCAGGGACCATCCTTAAAGAGCCCCAGCTCCGCCAGGCGCGGCAGCCGCTGGGGCAACAGCTGCCGCCGCTGCGCCTCCTCCAAGCTCCTTGGATCGGTGCGCGGTGCGCGCGGGAGGGATCGGCGGCAGGGCGGGCGATGCAGCGAGGAAGGGCGGAAGGCCCCAAGACTCCCTGGAGGAATTGGTTGTTCTGCTTGTGAAGGACCTCAAAGGTCCATGGGGCACGAGAGGTGGAGAAAAAACCTTTTGGACACCTTGGTGTCAACCAACTATTTCGCAGCAAGGCAGAAGTGGTGCATGGTTGGAAGATCTCCAAGTTCGCGATGTGGATGAGCCCTGAGTCTTTGTGAAACAATGCTGGAAAAGGTAGAAAAGCAAATCAATTTCATCTTAAAGACTTGGTCATGGTCATACACCAAAAGTGAGCTCTCCTCAATGCCCAGAAGACCAGAGATGGAGTCTAAACCCTCTTGCACAGAATGGTTGCCAAATCCAAACACCAAGATATATAAGACCAAGAATCCTGGTGCCCCAACCTCTCTGACATCACCTGCCACCTGCAGCCAAGGTGCATGGGCCGACGCACCAACCCCGCGCGATGCCAGTGGTTCTCGTGCACGGCTCGCTCGTCCCCTCGGCTTGGAACGGATGTGATGCGACGTGGCAGGGGCAGCCTCCGTTGGGTTCGGCGCCCGTCTCTCGCAAATGACCGTGCCAACGATCCCAAAAAGAAAGAAGAATTGGTATGCACTAGCTTCTTCCAAGTCACCGTGTTGGAATCCCTAAGTGACCTATGACAGGCCTGTTTGTGACCTCAAGCCAGGGGATCAAGTTGGGTCACGAACAGAAGAACCAGGTAGGAAAATGCATCTTTGTAGTGGAAAATGCATCTTTCAACTATCCCGTCTATCCCTGAACTGTTCCTGTTGGTGCTTCCACTCTGCTTCGACCGTCGGCCCCCAGGCTCTGCTCGGGTTCCGCCGCGCTCGGGTTCGGCCGCTCGAATGCCCAAGCGTCGATCGTAGACCATGTCCACGTCGCACTGGCTCTCGCCCGCCACGTTGGGGTCCGCCACGGCGGAGATGACCAAGGACTCATCTGACCGGGTTTCGCCACATGGCGAGGCCGAGGTTTTGGCGTTTTTTTTCGGGGCGAGAGACGTTGAAAGCCCAAGTCAGAACCCTTCTGAGAGGTGACCTTGGTGACCTGATAGATAGGACTCGACCCTAACCTGGGGTACCCAACTGGGATGAGATGGTCGAACTAGGATTCTGAAAACGTTGGGAAGGTGAGAGAAGGAGGCGAACATGCGAACAGGCTTCGGCTTAGGCGCTGTTCCGGCCTTGTCTTTGGAGGATTCCACTGGAAATCCCACAAGTAGCACTGTACCAGTTACCAGGTGTTGAGCATGATTAAGAGAAAAGAATAGAAAAACATTGAGCGGTTCCTATCTCCGTCTTCAACAATCGGTCTTGAGTCAAGATCGATCGCTTCCATATCTTTTAACTCATGAAGCAAATAACTGTTCAATTCAGTAATCTGTCTTATGTGTTTTCTTGGATTTCTTCCACCAAGCCTTGGCAGCCGCTCACCACCACCACCGCCACCACCACCACCACCACCATTGGGCCCCTCGATCCACATCGGCACCGGGCGCAGCCGGGCACCCTCTCCCAGGGCGCCTTGGAGGAATGCGAAGCGGTCCTCGAACCTCGGAGAACAGAGGTCAGGTGGAGGCACCACAGCACACACACCCGGATGTTGGTCCCACGGATGTGGGAGGAGAGGAAAAAAGTAAAACAGCACGACAAGCGATTTTGGGGGAGACCTATGGCCTATAGGGATCCTATTGGAGGAACATCCAGGAGGAAACTTCTTTGGGCTAGCCAGACCAGAAACATCCGAAGATGGTGCCTTAGTCACTGATTAAGTCAGCTTGCTCTTCTCCCGTGCCACTTTGGCTGGTTCCTTTCCAATCTCGCATGCGCTTCGTTGTCAGGTGAACCTTCCAGCTCGTTCTGCAAGGTCGACACTGGGGGTCCAAACGAGGTGGAACGAAAAAGGCGGAAAGATTGAGCCAAACATCCTTCGAATTATATAGATCAAAACGTGAAAACCCGATGCTTTTGAACCCACCTTGGCCAGAACGGTTCATCCTCCAATCGAGCCCCCTTGGCAAAATCCTTCGACTTCAGCACTTCAAGGATCGAAGACCGTTGTTTGTTTTTACCCCATTCACAAATTCACAAACAAAACCAAAACAATCCTGCACTAGCACCCGACTCTACAGGCTGTTAGTTGAGGGTTGTTGGACCGTGTCTCAGGTCTCAATTGGTGACCTATCGGAGGGTCTGGCAGAGGTTCTTCCATCCAGGTGATTAATTAGTAGAGGGGGCTTCATTCATCCACGGTTCACCCTAGTTCATTAGACTCTTGTTCAAGAGTGAAAACGCCCCATATCTTACAGTCCATGTTTTGGGTGGGCTTTCTTCGTGTTTGATGCTCCGGACCTCGTCATCCCCGCCGGGTGGCTGGTGGTTGTGGTCCGCCAGCCGGCTGCGCATGTCCGCGCGCACCCGCAGCACGGTGCCCCGCCGCGGGTGCGAGCCTCGGTCGGCGATGAAGGAGGCGTCCAAAGGGAGGCGTCCCGGCGTCCCTGTCGGTTTTCTGGTGAAGTCGTTGGTGGAGAAATGTGTTCTTTGGCGAAACAACAGAGCCTAAGTGGTTTTGAAAATAGAGACACGGGTGATGGAACTTCCTTTGGAGCCAGTGAAAATCTCTTGGGGCATGCCCAAGCCTTAAAAACTCAAATCCCTTGAGTACTTGACATTACTTGACCTCATGCCCTTCCATCAGCAGGTGTGACCCGCACCGTGCCCGCGCCTTCCATGGCACGCGTCCAGTCATCGAGGTTCATCTTCGTGCACTGCCGCAGCAAAAAGGGCTGCTCCACCGTTCCGCCTCGAGGCATCGGACGATGCCTACGCGCAAAGGCGCGCTCGCGAGCTGATCGGTGTAGAACGCACGACACATGGGGTATAGCTCTTTCCAGGCTGGGATCTTTGGATCAAACAAGATGACATTCATGGCACAATAACACCCAACTTGCCAAAAAAAACTTCAACACACTTGGAAGGAGCCGTACCATTATGGTGCGGTCAAACATCAAGGTACCGGCGCGAAGCCCAAGCACTGATGGGCTCATGGTCAAAGCTTGGGGAAGGAACTGCGTGAACCACGCAACGGCCCAAGTCTGTTTGCTTTTGGTGGCGTTGATCGGCGGCTTGGTGTAGTGTTGAAGTCCCCTATCCAGCTCCACTCCCACCTCAACCCCTCCCAACCCAGCCACAAAATGATCACCCCTCACCCCATCTTCTTCATTTCCAGGTCTCCATCTGCAGGAGACCAGAGCCACATCAGAATTGAGCGCAAGTAGATCACGGCCAAGATGTAGCACACGCCGCCCAGAAGCCTCAATGAGAGTCCGGCGCCCGAGCCGCCCGCCAGCTGCGTCCAGAACTGCCACCCTTCGGAAGATGGGAACATGGTGGAACCACCACTGTCCCTGTCTTTCTTCCAACACATTCCTCTTGCATGAGCAGATTCATATAGCCGAGACACCTTTCTCCTTCCGTTGCTCCGTCCCCAAAAAGGGGCCACCCGACCACCGATTTCGCCGAAGTCAGACGGACCGAGCTGCAGGATCAGGGCGTCCTGGCGGTCCACGGCGCCGTCTCGCAGGGCCAAGAACAGGAGCAGCACCGAGGCCACGTAGAAGAAGATGTCCTCGGCCGCCCCACCAACGGCGCCGCTTTCACGGCCCAGTTTCGGCCGCGGTCTCGACCGCGCGGGTCTTCACCCCGCGGGTCTGACCCGGGAAGTGTTCGCGGCGAACGAAGGAACGAACGTTCAGCGCGGCTTCGGTTTCGGTCCTCCTATCGCGGTGCGCGGGCATAGCGGGGTGCCGTAGCGCGGGGGGACGGGGATGTTGCCATGGTGGTTGTTCAAACGAAGCATGGCAGCTCATTCCAGGACCTTCCAAAGGATCACCTATAGCTGGACCCTACGCTACTGGACATGGTGTCCATTTGGTAGGCCGAACAATGGGCCCAGGTTCTTGCCTTTTAATGGTAAAACTCCCAGTTCTGGAAACGTTCAGGACGGGTGGACTCAAAGAGGAAGGAAGGACTGAAAGAACGGTCGTCCAAGTGGAAGTACAGCATATATAAGGCAAACAATCAATTCCAGGACCTTTCCAGTGACCTCTTCAGGATTGGTAAGTGACCTTTTCAAGGCCCAAGTGACCTCATTCTGGGATCTCAAAAGGTCACTGGGAAGGTCCTGGTTTGGACCGAATCCATGCGCGTTGCTTGACTCAAATCCAGAAGATCTCTTTGCACAGGAAGATTCCTGCTAAAAGCCCGACCCACCCAACTAACCCGCAAAAAGGCGCATATCAAAAAGAACAAAAAAGATACGTTCCTTTGACATCCTTTGACCATATATACAGAAGAAGGCTCGCGAAAGGAGGAGGTCTTGCTCAACTTCAAGGGCATGTAGTCCTTGGGCGTGGCGAGCACCGCCGTGCCGATGATCACCAAGACGTTGAAGACCTCCGGGACGACTCGGTGGTCTTCACGCAATGACGTCCACGCGCTGGTCGCTTGGTGGGGCAGGAGCGGCTGTGGGCGAACATGAGGTCTGCTGCAGAATGTGGGATAATTAATCAGCTGGAGAATGCGGGGACATTGGAAATCTGTCTGGAAATCCCTTCAGGTTGAGAGCAACCCTTCATGTTGAGCCTCAAGCCAGAAATCACCCTTGATCAACCCTGTGCTGTCGGGAAAATACCCCCATGTTTGAGCCACTATGGTGATGCTTTGAGGAAAGCTATCTTCAAATCTCGCGTGTCCTGTACTTAGCGCTTGACTGGGTCCAACACCACTGAAGAGCCCCAAAGTGGCCCACGCATGCCCAAGCAATCTCCGGACTGCGAAGACCCACTGCAGAGTTCGATCCAGCCTCGCCGCCGACTACTGCGCCCACACCAATGCTGGAAGGCTTCCAAATGTTGATCCTCAGTCGCCAGGACAGCAACACCTCGATTGTCATCCAACAGCAAGAAGTGTCCCAGATTACAGTCTACATTAGGGAAGCTCGTTCCCACGCCTCCAAAAATACATGCTGAGAGCTGTCCTCCTGCCATCCCCCCTGCCCAGTTCCATCCATCACCCCGTCTCCAAGGCACATATTCAGCGCCAGCTCTGGACCGTTGCAGCCCAGCGCCATCAGCGTGGCGCCCGCCACGTCGTCGGGGATCCCGAAGCGCTCGCAAATCACCTGCCGCCGTCGCAGATCCCGGCGGAATCCGCGGGAAGCGAGGACCCCGGAGGACCTGTTCATATTAGCAATGGCCTCCGACCCAATAGCGATGGCCTCCAAACCCAAAGAATTCCTGCTCATATCTGGAGGTTCCTGGATTCTTTTCATTCTGATATGTTTCTCCAAAACATGGAACCCGAAGGCGTGAAAACGGAGCGAGTCCATTCGCGCCGGCGAGTTCCGCCGAGCTCGGGGGGACGTGGAAGAGCCTCGATGGTGCGCACGAAGTGCAAATCGCAGACCTGCGAGGCCGTTGCTTGCGTGTCGCTCGCACCATGCAGCTGGAGGCAGCTGGGAGGCACGGCTGGGTTGGACAGGTGCCCTGCTTGGCCAGGTTCCCCCACTGGTGGAGCCTAAGGGGGAGACCTTGGACCGCAAACGAAAGTCATGGAGGACGTGGATGTGGATGGCTTCTTAAATGGATTGGCACAGCACAAACAAAGTTTCAAGATCTTTCGACTGGACTCCAGACAGATTATGTTGTATGCAACATGATGCTTAAAGGAGACTCGCTGGTCTGCGAAAACCTTTGAACAGAAAGAACCCGAGAAATTAAGACCTGAGAACCCAAGAGTCGTCTCAAGCAGATCTCACGCAAGCAAGGGACATGAGCCATGCTCCAAAAGAGGTAGAGAATCGCTGGCCTCAGTCGTCTCGGTCGTAGGTCGGCCACGATTGACCCCGACGGACCCGCCGATGAGACTCGGTCGGGGGGCCCGCAAGCTGAGGATCGCGAACGACCGAGGAGCGCGTCCGGACGATCGCGTCCGGGCGATCGATCGGAACTGAGCCCGGAAGTCCAAGAGGATCTTTGTGATATACGTCGCCGGTCTTTTGGTCTCTCTCCCTGGGCCGAACCGCTCTCGCCGGTCTCCCCACAAGCACTTTTTCAGACGTAAGTCGAAAAATCAACCCGCGATGATGAAGAGGTTGTGCAATCCAAATAAAGGGGGTAATCAAGAGTCTACATGCCTAGAACCTGAGTGCATCGTGTTTTGGAGGATCAACATGGATCAACTATCCAACAAATTCCCATTTCCTACCAAAACAAAGGTCACAAGGGTTCTACATAAGTCCAGGTGGCCACCAGAGCCAGCGCCACGGCGATGTCGCCCTCTCTGCCTCTTCAACCGACCAATCTGCCTCTTCCGCGCTTGGCGCAGACAAGGCTGCAGGTGGCTCAGACCTCCCAGTCTGCATGAAGAAGGAGACTGCATGGCATAGAAACTGCCAAGTTCTACATACATGGGATGTTACCCGAATCCAGCTTTCTTTGGGATCAGAGATCATCGGTGTATGGGTCACCTGGGCCCATCTAGGGTCATCTGGGATGGCAAGGCCTTTGAAAGCTCTTCACCCTGAAAGAGGCCTGGCAAGCATGGCGTACGGCAAGCTGCTGTTCGGCATGCCGTTCGGCACGCGCGCTGCCCGGCCGCGCGCGGCCTGCAGTCTCAAGTTTCCAAACAGAACCAGGGCTGGGCCCCCAAACACCGGCTGGGCCCTTCTTCAGAAGGGCCCTTGAACTGGTCACCATGGCCCTTTCTGAAGGTGGAGATGTATCAGAATGTCCTTGGGATGCATTTATATATATATATATACATATAAAGGTTGCATTGGGATCAAAACGGTCGTTGCAAAGCTACTCTGATCTTCCAAAGGCTGAGCCCGTAGGCTTGATACTCCAAAAAACGCGACGTCTGCTCAAAACATGTTGCTCTCATAAGAGATCATGTAGACTCTTGATTTAACAAATCCCCTCACCTTGAATTGGAAATCCCATTCATATTTTTGTCATGCTTGGTCAGCTAAAGGGAAAACCAACGCTTGGATTCAAGCTCCCCAGCCCCCCAGGACCACGAACCTGTCAGTGCACTCAGTTGGGGGGTGTATTAATCTTAAGAGTCTACATGGCTCCACCAGTCACCTGGACCCGACGACCCCCGCTCACGACCGGTCTCCAGCACCTCGGCGCTCATCTCGCCCCACTGCGCCAGAGACTTCCTGCACGGCTGAGGCGGGCGGTGCTTGAGGCGATGTGGGGGGAACCTGAAGAGTTGATCCATGGAGACTCTTGATTCATCTTGATTCATACACCCTCCCCATTTGGGTTGAAACCTCTCTTCATTTTGGGAATTCTATTCATCAAGCGTCTACAACATGGAGTCTTCACATCTTCCACCGCACGAATTCCCCAGATCCCAAGTGAGGACCCTGCATAGGATTTTTTTGGGCCAGGGAGCGCTGGCCAAATGCCAGACCCCCCAGGTCACCAAACCGACCCTCACATGGCCCCGCTTTGGACCCATGGCTCCTAACAAAAAGAAAAGAGGAGACAAACCTCTCGAAAGGCTTTAAGGGTCGAATGGGAACTCTTCTCTTCGACCCACTTCCTTGGCAGCAGTGCGCCGCAGCATGCGGCAGGCACGTGCAGGTGCAGGAAATGATGCCGTTTTGTTCCAGGGACATGATGCTGTCATCTTTGCGTGACAGCACATTTACTGCTTCTCTGATCAGCCAACATGACGAATCATCCGCAACTTCTGAAAAGCACAAACAATTCATAGGGCCATAGTAGGGGAGGAATCTGTGGATAGAAAGACTTCCATCCACCTTACTCCGACATATTCGCTTCTCCGACTTACTGGGTGGTTCGAAAAACACCCACTCCGGCTTCACGGCACCCCGAAGTGCTCCCTGGGCTTTAGCTCCAAGAAACTCCTCCGAAGGACCCCCCTCCGGGTCTTGCGTGAGATTCGTCCACCCAGAAGGGGCTGCAGCAGAAGGGGCTGCACGCCCCACACCGCGCAGGCCCGTGCCGTATAGGAGCCTTGGGGCAGGATACAGAAACACGTAGTGGCCATAGATCAAAGCCCTGCCGTCACGAAGATGGCCCTAAAGCCCCGCTTCGAAGTCCGAAGAAAAGAAGACCTCCAAGTCAAAAAGGTTGTACCCGCCCCCCCTGCAGACTAACAGGAACCCTGAAAACGACCCCGTGGATAGAGCATTGACCTCTACAACCCCCGTGGTTTTGAGACTCAATCTGAGGAGAGTACTATACTTCAAAGTAGAGAACCCAACGGCATGCTTCGTTGCAAGAGCCCAAAAGAACAAAAGTCTCTCCTCCGAGAAGCTCGACCGGGCCACCATTCGCCCGACCGAGTTCGAGCGCCGCCAGCCACATGGGCGGAAGCATCCACGGCCAGCGCCCCATGGTCACACGAGGTCGCGAGCGGGCTCTCCGCACGCACGCGCACGCACGCGCGCCAGCGCGCCGGTGACAGGTGTCAGCTGTCAGGAACGGTCGTGGTTCGTTGGCGGAGTTGACCCGCGTTTCGGGGGGGTTCGAGGGTTGGCTGCCCAAGCTGATGCAAGCTTTCAAGAAAAGAACAATGAGACAATGATGCACAAGAAAACCATCCGCATGTGTACAAAAACATACACCGTCATCGAGACACATCCTCTCTTTGACCTGAACTGGTGGCATTGCAGAAAGAATCTCGAGGCCAATGATTCGTTTAGACTTCGCTATCCATTCGATCTTTATGAAAGCTAACGCCTGCAGATGCCGATTCCGGCAGCTTCAAGCGGGAACCCTTCAAACCCTTCTCTCGAGAAAATCCGGATCGTGGAGCCCAAAAAGGAAGAGCATCCCAATTCACAAGCAAGGTCCGAAAGGAGGTCCCAAAACCAGTTCTTCTTCATGTGGTCGCTTTTCGTATTACCGGTTGAATCGGTTCAAAGAAGATTCACAGATTCAATTTCGAGGAGTCGAGGGGATCACTGCAGACTCTACACGAAAGGGAGACTCTTCTCCGGCTCGTTAAGAGCATTCGGGTGCACGTTTGTCTCGTCGGCCTCAAATGGTTGGGTTCCTTCTCCCAAAAAGAAACATACCAGGACTCAGGACCCCACCTGTTTGGGACGTCTATTCATGGCAGTTTGTTTCCCAGATTTGATTTGGGGTGTCCATGAAAACACCCAACCTCCAGATCCTGGCACCACCACTCGTGGCTCCCCCTCCTTGGCCCCATCGTAGAGCCTCAGCACGTACTTCCCGCGAGGGTTCACCTCTTTGGTCCTGGGCGAGGCCGAGCCAAACCCGGAGGTGGAGGCGAACCCTCGGGACGTGAAGTCCGAGGTCCGTTGAGCACCACCTACTAAAGTACCTAATTTATACAGTACACGATCGTATAAACACGATTCTGGACATGGTTGTTTCTTCCATGTTCTTCCATCTCCTCCCATTTCCCTTTCCCTCCCCTCAGAGCGGCCTGAAGACCGCCTGGATGGCCCCGTCGTGCTCTGCCATGCAGGCGATGGCCGCCAGCAGTCGCCCAGGGCTCCTCGACCGGTCGACGGACCGGGCTCCACAGGGATGATTCCTCAAAACCCCCCAAAGCCCTGATCCAGTGGCGAGGAAGGAGACACTGAGACATGTAGGCCGACCACGGGTTGCACCGCTGAGAGTTGAGAGTACCAGCATCGGTCCCTGTCCATCCAGTGAGCACTGCTTCTCCATCCAGTTCCACGGTCGGGGGGTCCGCGGCACCCGTGGCCGACCCGAACTCCGGGCGCCGGCCACGGGCCCGTGCCCTTGCCGGAGGCCTTCGGTTGGTAACCGAAGGTTATATACGCTCGCCGCCCTGTTTGAAGTCCCATCCAGTACCCTATTACAGGCCTGTTTGTGACCTCAAACCAGGGAATCAAGTTGGGTCAATTAGAAAAACCAGGTATATGGTTGTATTTTATACATCTTGTACCGACTGGCACAAAACAGGGACCTCAAAAGGGTCAAAAGTAGGGCTGACTTAATAGGGGAACCGACCCACCAATGGATTTCGGCTGTTTTTGATTTGTTCACCAAAGGTCTGACTTGGGGTTGCCCCCAGATCCCTGCTCTAATACACCCCCTCAAGGCTGAGGCCCTTTTCTTCCGATGTTCGATCCGTCTTTCATCAACCCCCCCACCATCTGCAGGGATTGGGTCAAACATCTGCGACGCCTTTCGTTGGCCACTCCTTTTTGATCTATGCCCATCTGAGCATGGAGTTAGTGTTAAAAAAATGTTTGATGAACTCCTGGATCCAAGGGGTGGTTCATGGACACCACTTGACCTTTAAGGGGCTATATGAATGGACACCTTGACTCCGTGGTGCTGGCTGTCATCATCTGAAGTGGACTGGAGTCTGCAGCTCATTTGCTCCCCTTCGACACCCCCATCCGTCCTTGGCAGATGTCCCGGCTATCAATCTCCCGACTAAAGAGCTGCATGTGCCTCTTGTTGCCCTGACACCAACGAGCGCGGAGCGTCAAGAAAAGCGAGCCATAGCACCCAAAAGCATCCAAGAAAACGCCAACCAAACCGTGCTTCTCTGGCGACCGCTTCTTGCTCACAGACGTGCCGGCCCCGGGAGACCCGGAAGGACAGGGCCTTCTCGTCCTTGGGCACTGGAAACTTGCCGCCCCTGCGGACCGGGTCGGCGGACCCGGGGAGAAGGCGCCGGTGGAACCGGGCGATGCTTTCAGGGTTCACATGCACCCCTACTGATGCAGGTTTTACACGTGCTCTATCTGCAGCCCAGATTGGCACCAGTACTGACTGGTACCCAGCGTCACTAAATAGTAAAAAGACACATCTCACTCCTTTCACTTTCCTTCTCCACCTCCATGGTACCAGCCTCAGCCTCATGCGCTTGCCTCACCACTCCCCGGGCCTCACCCAGGTCACCTTGCCGGCGAACTGCTTGGCTGGCGGCCAGACGCTCGGGGCTCCGTGGTCCGGCCGGAGTTGGGGTGGTGGAATGGACAGAAAGAATCACCCTCTCTATCTGCATAAGGGGCTATCTAATATAGCTACATATATAATATATAGCTATATAGAATCATCTCTCTATGAATGGAGACCCGAAATCCGTGGTGCTCGTACAAAATGATGTGAAGAACACCGGGTATAGGGACCCTTGAAAGAAGAGTTTTTTCATGCGGACAGCATGTTCCAGACAGCGCAGTCGTTGTGGGAATGTACCAGAATGAGTGCAAACCGAGAACAGGATTGTTGTAGCCTTTGAACACGAACCAAGTAACCCTTGAGGAGAAGGTTGAACTTCTACACAACAACATCACTATTCAACTATTCAACATCCAACAACGAAGCACGAGCACCTACTAGTTACTAGTACTAGCACGCTCCAACCCCGTGTTTATCCCTTTTTCATTAGCCACACCAGAAGTCCCATCTCCCCTCATCCCATTGCCCCCCTACCTATCCTAGCTGCCGGTCATCCGCCCCCAGTCATCCCCATCCCCATCCTGATCCCTGCACCTTCATCCCCAGCAGAGTCTCCCTTCACATCCCCCAGCGAGAGCTCCTCCGGTGGGAAGTCCTGATTCCGGCGGACACGCCGACCATCTACGCGCCTCTGGACGTCACCCGCGCTTCTCAGAAGACCGACCCACAGTTCCCAGTGACCTTGCTGGAGTCCTATCCAGTGACCTTTTTTTGGAGGCCTGTTTGTGACCTCGAAACTAAGGGGAAGATCCAGGGAAACACATGTTGTCACGCCGATGAGGGAGTGTGGTGCCCGACGGCCGAGTTGTACGGAGGGAAGGGTTCGGAGGGGGAACCCCTTGTAACCATCCACTATCCACCATCGGCTCACTGGAACAGGACCCCAAAAATAGAACTTCCTTTGCTGGTTCTTCTAAGTGACCCAACTTGATGTTCTGGTTTGAGGTCACAGGCCTCCAAAAAGGTCCCTGGATGGGACTCCAAAAAGGTCACTCGGAAGAAGCTGGTTTGTATGAATCAACCAAGGACCAGGAGTCACATGTCGGGGTGGCTCGTCCCATCCAGTGGATGTGGATCAGTGGATGTTCTGGGCACCCCGACTTCCTCCATGGATAGCACTCCAACTCCATGGAATTGCTGGAAAGGAGATCTTTCTCTACCATGGGATGATATACAACTTGGCCATTCTAATCATTGGCCCGGTCTTGCCACCCACTCAATCCGGCATCCCCCGCAATCCGGCATCCGCAATCCGCCATCCCCCGCAGATATGCGCCTTGTCGGTATACAACCAACAGCAGTTGAAGGCTCTGCACAGACAACAGCAGAACTTGTAGAGGCCGCGGTTCATGTAAACCCGCGCACATCCGCAGCCTCGTTCGGCGAGAAAGATCCCAACCGAACACACCAGGCTGTGACAGTGTCTGGAAGACGAGGACCATCGTTTGCGGCAAAATAGACCACCAAAACTTCCCAAAAGAGGACCCCTGGACCCCACAACGAGCTGTGCTTTCAGGTCAATGACAACACCACCGTTGCCAAACGCTAGCAGCAGAGCAACTACTTCAAACTTCAGCGCCATCCACACACCAGGGTGCTGGATGGGCCAATGGCTTTTTGGCCGCAGCCGTCGGACAGGCTGAGGGCTGGGCAGTAGATGCTGCCCGCCCAGCAGCAAAGGACAAAGGGGCAGCAAATGGTGTTGTAAAAACAACACCTGAGCGGCTCGCGGCGCCACGGCTCGTCCGAACCCACGCCCGAACGACGCGAAACACGGAGGCCACGACGGCCGAGCACGGAGCACGGATCGCTCCGGACCCTGAAGGAAAAGTGTGGTTTACGCCAACATCTACGCTCACGATAAAACGCCATGACTGAAGCATGGTCTCCCTCGCTCTCCCTTTTCCTCTCTCCTCTCTCTCTGTCTCTATCTTCCTCTCTCTCTCTCTCTCTCGCTCTCCCTCCTCTGAACCCCTTGGTTTAGTTTCTGAACCGGAGTTCCTGAACTGTCAAAGCTAGCTGTTTTTGGGGGAGTTCCTTGCCGTGTTGAGGCACCGGACGCTCTGCCCACCATGAGCTTCTGCCAGCAGCAGATGGTGTCCTGACATGCGTCACGCTACGTGGACCCTGAAAACCACTGGGGGACAGACCGTCAGATCTCAGGGAGTTTGCCCAGTCGAACTCCCTTGGGGTCCGGCTGCGACACGCGCCTGGAGCCTGGAGCCTGGAGCCTGGAGCCTTCGGAAGGGCCGACGCGCGTGAGCCGAAGTCCGCACCCCCACCTTCCAGGTCAGCGACATGACGGGGAAGGGGCCGCAAGGGCTGGGAAGACTCCTGTCCCCGGAGCTCGTCCAAGTTTGAGTGAGAAGTCGTCAGTGTCCTGATCAACTTCAACACCTGAAATTGTTTACCATGAGAGTGCCCATGTGCAATGCCTCATGCTAAAGCTGCCTTGCCTGAGCTCTGTGTGTGTGTTTTGCTGAAGACATATTTCGCTGTGATCCACCAACTCGAAAGCCGCAACGCTGGAAGTCTGGGAGGAACCCCTCTGGCCTTGCCATTTCGTCCAGCGAAACAAGGAAAGAAAAGGAAAGAACGATCTCTTCTGTGAAGCTTTGGCAGCAGGACCAATGGACTGGGGACCAGCGGACCAGGGATTGGCCAGAGAACCAGGGGGCCCGGGAATCATCTCTTGTGATCTTTTATGTTTGGACCAAGTTCACCCAAGTTCATCCCGTTTGGGATGAACTCGCAGGCTCCAAACTCGAACAGGGAGGAATGGCGGTAGTGTTGATGTTCATGCCCCCTCTAGAAGCCCGCGCCCGCGGGGTCACTTTCCCACATCAATCAGGCCCAGTGTCATTTCAAAATACATAGATGCCCCCTGGTACCCATGTTGTATGTCAAAAGTTACATGTCATTCGTCCAACAGGAGTAATGCACTCCCGCGCATGTTTGATGACAAACCAACGGCGCCATTTTGCGTGGCATTTTGCAGGTGTAGAGATGACATGTTGGGCGTATCCCCTTCCAAACCAACAGTGGATGATGATGGTCTTGACTAAGGAAAAGGCAGAACCAAAGTTTTAACCAAACAAGGTGCCGTAACCTCTACGCCTCCCAAAAAAGATCGCCCTTCCCTCACGCAAACCCCTCCCCCTTCAATCCCAGCCCCTTTTCTCGTTGCATCGAATCGAACCCACCAATTCAGGGCCTTTCCTCAGCGCATCTCAGCGCATCTCAGCGCTGCCCGGCGTGTCCAACCCCCAACCGACCCTGGAGAGGAGAAACAGACTCGTTCGATGGGTCGCATGTTTACGGAGCTGTTCACGGAGCTGTTGAGCCATCCCGCAGGTCGCATGTCACCAGCTGTTGCGGACACCGTGGACCCGCCGGGGCAGGGCCGGAGCCTCATTGACTTCGCCAGAGGGTTCTCTTTGAGTGTCCCTCGCTCAAGGGCTGAGCGCAGTGACGAATGGCTCTTGGAGCGCAGTGATCACTGACTTTCTCAGCCGAGACCTTGGTCTGACCTTCTCGGAAAGATGGTGCTGTGAAGTATTGACTTTGCCGGCCAAGCCGGCGAGGATGTCCCCACACTTTTGCAAGCTACAAAAGAGATTCAGGATGCCCTAAAGACAGCTTCATTTGTTTCTCCTATGTAGCAAGTGGCTGCATCACTGCAAGGTGGCTCAAAGAGCCTCTTGATTTCACATGGAGACAGTCCTAAAAGAGCCTAACAGTCGGAGACTCGGACATACACCAGCAGGGCCAGCCAGCTGGCTGGCTGCCCGGCCTCTGCCCAACCGCGCCCAACCGAACTGCCCCCCCAACCCCGCCAGGGCCGGTCTAGCGGAAGGAGCCCAACGAGTTCCGGCGGCCCTTGTGGATCACCGCAGCTAGCTCCGTCTCGCCGGGATCGCCTCGAGGTCGGCCCGTCATCGGTCGCTTCGGGGCGGGAATGGCTTAAGCTGAGGGATGGGATGAAAACGGAGGTCAGAATTGTTGTAGACTTCAAATGGCTTTCCCCATCCCCTCCCCAATTCGAGTCGAAGGGACGCCGCGCATGGATGGCGTCCAAATGACTCAACCTGGACTACATGGTTGGAGTCGGAAGGCCCGAACAGGAACCGCCCCACCGAAACGCCCGAAAGACCGGTTCTCGGAAACGCACCGCACACCGCACCCGCGCCGTGGTTCCGCTCTTCGGCCTGCGTCCCACGTCATCGGTCGCATCTTTTGGCCTCGGGACCGTCGCCCCCGGTCGGGATGGACCGACCGTGAGCGGTGGGAACGGCCGAAAACGCCAGGAGACCCCAGGGAGGCGAAGAAGGAGCATCCAAAAGGACTCCAAGGGCTCTGAAAGTGACTGAAAGTGATGAAGAAGACGATGTGACGGAGTTTATTGAGACATCCCTGGTGAGACCCCAGTCATGATGCCATGGACACCTCCCCCCAAAAGCCTCTGCCGTCGTGTCCAATCACTGGGGGCCTTTTCGACCGAGTGGTCCTAGGACCGACTGGATGCCCAGGGTCCTTCCAGCCACTGAACACATCTGAACACCACCTGACCCCGGAACGGTTGAAACAGGAAACACCTCAGCAGCTCAGAGTCTCAAACAGTGACCTCGGTGGGATCTTCAGGTGTGGCCCCTCCAAAGGCCGTGGTTGAGGCGGTTTGGAGGTGGTTTGGAGGTGCCGAACTGGGAGGATAGGGGTGCCCATGATCCACTCAATTGGGGAATCACTTGCATCCTCTTTGAAACTGCTGGTGGGCCGGTAGTGAGTCGCGGAAGTTTCGTCCATCAGCTCCTTTTGGTTGCACAGCGGAGCGTCCTTTCAAGCCGGAGACCGGAGACCCGATTGATGAGATGGACCAGGAATCTCGGGCGGTTCCTGTCTGTTTCAAAGTCACTCGAGCCGCTGCCAGACCTCTGAAAAGACATCCAACACATCTGGGCAGCCCTTGCTGGCAGTCAGCTCCTGCATGTACGTGCGGACGCGATGCGCGCGCGAACGATGTTCAGCCTGGTTTCGTCTTGAAGAGTCTTGCATGTTGCTGAACATGGAGCAAGGAACAGTCGGAGAGAAAATGGTTGCATGTCACATACGACTCATACGACTCACAAAAGTCGCAAATCATCAAATCACTCGACAATGACCTGTATGACAAACCTCAACCAGTGAGGGAAACGTTCGGAAGAGCTGGGTCCCAAACCCAGACAATACAGATTTCTTTCGTACCGTGAATATGTTCGTCGTTGGTGGTTTATATAGACCCCCATCTATCTAAGACATCTTGGGGCGCCAGTGCCATCTAGTCTGAAACCGCAAATGGAACAAATGAGAAGACCCAGACCTGATCGCAAGACCTGTCGCGTCCAACGACCCATGTGGAACGCATGTGTCCGCCTCCGCCTCCGGGGCGCTCTCATCCCAAGGACCCTCGCTTCAGACCTGGAGACCAGGCCCAGCTGGGCCTCCTCCTCGTCGCTGGTATTGAGGTGCACGTGCCCATCCGTGTGCGCCGGCATGACGAAGGGAGGCGGCATGTCAAAAGCGGCCAAGTGTCCCTTGGTTTCAGACACGTTCCGCCCACCCTGCGACCCCTCCTGTCCATTGGGAAGCATCCATCAATAGGAGGACCAAGGGTGTCCAGCCAACGTGAATCATTCACTTCGAAGCGATTACTCAGGGTGTCCCACCCGACTTTTTTGCACCGGAACATCTTTGCTGGTAGAAGCAGGGGAGGACAAAAATCGAGCGCAGTGGTCTGCCTGGGCCAATTTGGGCCCTCAAATCTCGTCCCTCATGGTCGAGCCAGTTCTCCACAGGAGACTAAAGAATGATAATAAGTCTGGCCTGGTGACTAGTGGGTACTGACCGAAAGTCTACAGTGGGTATCATGGTGAGGAAAAAATGGTTCATGGCAGCCTCATGTTTCTTGTTCTTTTCGAAGACAACGCTCCACCAACTCATCCCACCAAAATCACAGAAGCTCTCCCAGTATGCGCAAAGTTCGGGGTGTCATGGCCCCTCAGAGAGCATTCAGGGCCTGGTCACAGTGGGGGGGGCCCCGAAATTCAGGGGTCAGCCACACTGGAAACCACTGACCTCTCAAGCACGGTGACCCGTCGTGCGACTCCCCCCCCCCGGCTGTGGTACGTCTGGGCATCCGCGCGATGCGTCGGACGATCACCTGAGCAGCACCGAGCGGTCTTGAAGACCCGCTGAGCTCGGCTGGATAGGCGGCCAGCACCCGTTCAAACCCAAAACCCGCGAAGCATGGAGCGCTTTGGAACCCGTGTGCCACCGGTGGACCCTTGCGAAAGATCCGCCCAGCTGAAGGCTGCC